GTACCAATGGCTCGAGAAGTCGAGCACGAGGAGGAAGAGGAACGCGAGCTTGTACGCCGGGTAGAGGTGCGAGAGGATCACGAGGAGGCCCGCCGTCGAGCAGCTACACCATGTGAGCGACAGAGCGCGAGTGTCTCGCAGCGTACCGGTCCGTGACCATGTCGAGGACGGCGCCAAACGTCGAGCCTAATGTGGATGACCAATGAGCCCTCGCCAAGAGCGACGCGGTGGAGTACATTGGTTGAACCAGCGGGCGAAGAAGCTGTCAAAGTAGTCGCAGATGAAGCTGAAGGCGTAGCAGATGATGCTCGTCTTCCAGTCTGTCTCGGCCACGTAGAAGCTGTAGGCCGTGAGGGCCACGCGGACGTAGCCGATGAGGTTGGGGATGTAGAAGTAGACCTCCGACTTGTCGCCCATGCTGCTGCTGCCGTCCGTGAAAAACGCAAATGGCGTCCGTTAGTCATGCCATCTTTTTGGCCAATGGCATCGCTGGAAGGCAAGTAGCCAATCAGCTTGCGGCAGTAATTTTTGCGTTGATGATGAAACGGCGCCGGCGCATGATCGAGCGAAAAAGGGCGCGCGTCGCACAGAGACACGGCCGCGCGTCAACACACTGGATTAGACACGATGTTGCTTGGATAGTTGAGCGACGATACTGTCTATTTTTCTTGGAGGCGGCGGTGTTGTTGATATCCATCCATCGATCTTTCAGTCCACCAACGCGTCATCTCACAGATTATCGATCTAGAACGCATGATGCATGGCGTCGGCAACGCTGCTACGTTCGCGGTGGCGCGGGTCCAGGACGGGAAAGGACTGCGTGCGGTGAGGCGCCCCGTGGCCACGTCCGAGCTGCTCGAGCGCTCCTGTGAGCTGACGAGTTAGCTCTTGGTGGCGCTTTTCTTGGGCGTCAAAGTGCGTCTGCGACTCGGCTCGCATCGCAACAAGGTCGGCCCGCAGCGCTTGCATCTCCAAGTCTTTGGCCACGGAAGCGTCTTCGCGCAAGGCCTCAACGTGCCGGTTTGGAGTCGTATCATTGGGCAGGACCACGGTGCAGTCCAGCACCCTGCCAATGGCCCAAGCGCGCAGATCTATCACATTGGCCACATCCTTTCGGTGCACAAACTGAAAGAGGTTGTAGGCACAGTGCCCATGCGCGTTCAGCGGCGGCACGAGATCGTCGCGTTGCCGGGGTCGGCAATGCCTCCATCTTCCTCCTGTGTCGATTTGAACCAGGGTGGTAGAAGAAACCTCAATCGGTGAAAATGCCAGTGACGTGTCCTGTGCGCCTGAAATCAAAGCTGGCTAATACATCCACCCGTGCTCTGAAGTTGTCGACAGGTGCGTCAGACTCCATGCTACTAGTATGGAAACAGAGAGCGCCGATGTACAGGAACAACGCGAACGGTGAACGCAGCGTGGCGGAAGCAGGCACGGATGACATACCCTCGAATGCAACCATCATGTTTATTTTGTCGCCGTCGCTACAGTAAATAAATCGAATCGTGCTCCGTGTCGACACTGCTGCTTTCGCGGTGGCGCGGGTCCAAAACGGGATGGGACTGCGTGTGGATCGGCGACCCGGGTGCACGAACGAACTGCTCGAGCGCTGTCGTGAGCTGCCGCACGACCGCCTGGTTTTGTTGACGGAGCGTCGTCTCGAGCGCCTGGTTTTGCTCATTAAGCTTCGTCTCGAGCGCGGCAAATAGAGCTTGCAACTCGATGCGCTGTATCCCGCCCGAGTCGTCCGTGTTCTTCTCAACGCCTACTTGTTGGTGCTGGTACGTGGTCTCGGTCACAGTGACTAGTGGTACGACGACAGCGTCGAGCGACTCGTTGATTTGTGCGGTCATGCTCTGCACCAGCTGGTCCACAGTGGTCGCCGCAACAAGCCTGAATAAGACGACGCATTCGGTGCGGGCGTTCATTGCCATCTTCCACGGGGTAGTCTCATCGCTCCACAGTTTGTCAATCTTCGCACACAGTGCCTCGATGACATCGCAAATGCTGGTCTTATGAGACGCGAGCTTGGCAGACGTGTCGTCTCCGCGGTGCTTGTCGGCTTCAGCAAACAAGCTCGCAAGCGCCTTTTCGGCGACCGCAATAGCCTCCAGCTCGGGTTGAAACCCACGAAGAATGTTGGGATCTGTGCTGAAATGCTCCACGCGGCGCAGCTTGGTCGTGACATCGTCAATGTGCTCGGCGATGGTAGCTTGAAGCGACGTCAGCGTCGTCTTCCATAGTCGCTTGCGCGTATTGTCATGCCGGATCGACGCTTCGAGCTCGGGTCGCAGCGAGATGTCGAGCTTCGAGACGACCTCCGAAAAGATCGGGTTGAGGACGCGCGCGTGGGTCTTGCTGTCGATCAGATGCAAGAGCTCTTGCGTTGCGTCGGCGTCGAGGCGCATCGACTGCTCTAAACGCAGGATGCACTGAGCGTAGCTCGTGAGCGCCTCGGTCTTGGCCTTCTCGAGGCCGCCGTCGACCGTCTGGTTCATCATGGCGAGTAGGACGTTGAGCAGCAGAATGCACACCACCGCCGAGTGCAGCATCATCAGCAGCAGCGTGCAATTAGACAGGAACCCGTCGGTCGCGTCAAACGCACCGAGCGCGTCCAGAGGCAGCTGGCCGAACGCAACAAAGTACGTCGTCACGAACGACGACCCAAGGGTGTTGAACGCGTCGACGTCCTGGTCGCGGAAGAGCTGGTAGAACGTGATCGTGAGACCCATTTGAACGACGCCAAAGAAGATGAAGAAGTTGCGGACGTCGTCGAGCAGCTTGGACATCATCGGGAGGAGGTAGCCGGCGGCTGGCACGACTTCGAGAAACTGAAGCGAGAGCATCCAGAGACCGATCGTGATGGCGCCGCCGACGCCCGTCTGCACCGCCCACGGTGCTGGAAGAAGACCGAACTTCATGGGCACAAACACGAGCAAGACGGCAAGGTTGGTGAGCAGCTGCGCCTGGTTGACGCGCGACGACCAGTACACTGTGGTGCTTGACGAGGCCATTTCTTCGAGCTCCGTGACGACAAAGTAAAGCGACGTGCACCAGAGAACGAGGTGGTTGCAACTGGGATAGGCGCTTGCGACACCCGACAAGAGAAGCAACGCCATGACGGGCAGCGCAATTAAGAGAGACAGTCCCATCCACGCTCGGACCAGCAGCACTCTGGCGCGAGTCTTGTGCTTGGGGAGGTGTGGGATCGAAGCCGAGACGTCCAGAGAGAGCCGACCGTCGTAGCAGTAGCGTGCGAGACGGTAGAGAGACGCCGGGCGCAGCAGTTGCAGGACGATGTAGCCAACGACCGTGCTGACAAACGCCAAGGTGCCCACGGCCATCGGAATCCAGTTGGTCGCTACGCTCGCCTCGTCCACGAGCAGCGACGACGTGGTCATCGTGACAAGGAGCAAGGTGTTCATGAGCAGCTGCTCAAAGTACTTGCGCTGACCAAAGAGTTCCCACTTGATCTGGAGAATACGCAGCATAACGACGTGCTCCAAACATTCGGTCTTGGCGTCGAGGAGCAGCGCTGGGTCGGGCGACTGCAGATTCAAAATCGCATGCAACGCGCTCGTGTCGGCTGTCGTGCCGTACACGTGCTCGAGCTAGTTGCATAGTTAGTTGGTCGATAACTGTAGTCGAGTCGAAAGAGAGAGACGTGTACCTGACTGAACCGCATGACGCGACGGTCGAGCGTGACGCAGTCGTTGAGAAACATGCGGCCCAGCGCCGGCGAGCACGCAATCGCCTTGCGAAACGCTTGCTTTGTGAACGCTTCGTCCGTGTCCTTGCGCGCAAGGTGCACTGCAAAAGCTGCTCGAAACTCGGGTGATCCGCGGACTTGAACCTCCTCTTCGAGGATCGCTTGGATCTGCAGCAGTGTGTTCTTGGTCGTGTGGTCGTTCTTGGTGTTGAGAACGGCGCGCATGAGCTGCTCAAAGAGCGACGTGCCGCCCTACGATGTCATGCGTGTCTAGTGGAATTGAGAGAGAGAGAACTACGTTGTTGACGATGCGGATGTCAGCGTAGCGCTCGAGCAGTTGCTTGACGACATCGACGTGACCACTCAGCGCCGCGAGCCACAAGGCTGTCTCGCCTCGCTAAGCAAGTCGATTTGGATGCTATATGAATTCACAGAGAACAGACTGACCATTCACAAGCACGCATGCTCAGGCTCTAAAGAGATTTCTAGAAAATGACTCGGGTGTCAATTGTATGTGGGGACGGGGGCTGAAATTCGTTCGACTTGGAACACGCAACTCGCTGAGCCAACGCAGCTCATATCAGTGGTTTTCTCTATGGTTTGTGCAAGACTGCTTGTGCTGTGGCGTTCGGCCCGCGCCTACGACACACTCCCGGCCAAGTCGCCTTACTCGTACCCAACAAGTCATTCCAATGACAACGGAGACATCGTGGACGACGACGACGCGACGATGGTGTCCCTCCTCAGAGGGGGCAACGTGCCGGTAGTTTTACATCGACTGCAGCATCGGACGTACACGTTACAAGACCTCTGCGCGATCGAGGTAGTCGACCTCCTCTCTTGTCAGAGATCTTTCGCATCATTGCAAGCAGAGTGATATACAGCGTCATCCAGTTCAGCGCGTACTCTGCTCCGAAGATAACGGTACCGGCATCGGTACAGACTTCGCACTGGGCCATATATGGCTTGACGCAATCATTGTTGGTCCTTCAAGAGCTGCGACAGACATCGGTGCCGCCTCAGTGCTTGGTCGGCAAGCTTCAGGTCAGTCTTCCAGGGTCGACAGTGTGATGAGCCGAGAAAGAAATCCACTAGAGGTAACGTAGGACGATAGCGAACCATACGCCATCAACGTCACACTCGTGCAGCGGCGTCCTATCGGGACTTGCATGCGAGATTCCTTGACACACAAGCGTCCAATGCAGTCGCCAATCAGCTTCTAGCGCGGACGTTGTATGTACGCACAGTCCAGGGCACGAGAGGAATGTGTCCTCTTATTTGTGTAACCAAGATCTCGCACATGCTACATTTAGTTTCTGAACCTTTCAACATCTTTTTCTCAGGCTCTACGCCTCCAACGGCGA